TTTTTTGAATTTGGAGCTTTGAATCCTCTCCTTTTCACTCATTGTTATCTCAGTTTGTCCCTATGTATGCTGAATGTTCATCACTATCTTGCTATAGCAATTCTCTTATTATTATTTAAGCCTATAATGCCCTGTCCTTAGTAAGGGCTGCACTCCTCTGCTTCTATTTGCCTGATAGTCACTTTACTCCTAATTATGTATTCTTTTGTTATTTTGTTTTAGATGAGCTGACACCTTTCAGTATTTCCTGTAGTGCGGGCCTCATAGTGGAGATTCCCTCAATTTTTGTATGTCTGGAAAAGTCTTAATTTCTTCTTCATATCTAAAGGAGTGCTTAGCTGAATACATTATTCTAGGCTGGTAATTCCTTTAATTTAATAGTTTAAATATTTTATTCCATTCCTTTCTGGCTTGTAAGGTTTGCATTGAAATGTCTGAGGATAATCTAATGGGTTTACCTTTTGTTTTTTTGGCTGCTTTGAGAATTCTGCCTTTGTCGTTGATTTTTGATTATTTTAATATAATGTGTCTTGGTGAAGGCCTTTTTGGGTTGAGATAATTGGGTGTTCTGTTGGCTTCTTGAATTCCAAGCTCCATCTTATTCCTTAGATTTGGGAATTTCTCATCCATTATTTATCTGAAAATGCTTTCTAGGTCCTGCTCCTCCCCTTCGATAATGCCCATTATTCTTATGTTTCCTCTCCTGATGGTATCAGCTAGTTCTTGTATTTCTGTTTCATTAGTTTTCATTCTTCGGTTTCTCTCTTCTTTTTTCTGATTTATTTCTAGATTTCTGTCCTTGATATCACTGATCCTTTCCTCCATTTGGTTGACTCTATTTCCCAGGCTTGCTATTTCATTTTCCAAGTCTTGCAGTGTGTTCTTCATCTCTAGAATATCTATTCTGTTCTTCTTGAGGGTTTCAATCTCCTTGTTCTGCTCTAGTTGTTTTTTTTTTTTTAATTCCTGAAATTGTTGATATGATTTGTTTTGGTTCTCATTGAGTTTTTTCAGAAGTACCATCCTGAAGTCTCTGTCATTTAAGTCGCATATTTCTATGTCTGTAAGCTTATTTTCTGGAGATTTTTCTCTTTCTTTCTGAGATGCCTTGTCACCTTTGTTGTTCATGGTGTTTAATGGACAATTTCTCTACCTGTAGCCCAATTTTTTATAGTAATATTCTGTAGCCCATGTGAGGATAAAAGATTTAAAAGATTTAATGTTAAAAGTTCTAATTTCAATGTCTGATCTATACTAGCTTTATGAGAAAGCAAGCTTCTTGAGCTTTGTAATCTCATTCATGTATGGTCTGACGTGGGGATCATGATACTAGTTTATCTCACCAACTGATTTTGAGAGCTAAAACATGTAATTGGGTTTTGACTCACTTCATAGGGGAAAAAAAAAAACATTTACATTACAATCTGTAAACACAAGTTTGTATCTCAAAACTGTCAAAAATCGTTAGTTACCCTTAGCATCGTGAGTATACGCTGTCATATTTCTGTTTTCATTTTTTAAAGATAATCGGCTATGGCCAGTAGTTTAAAAAGCACTTATGTATGTAAGCATACATTATACACTGAAAGCTTACAATATAAATTACCATTTTAGCCAAGATTTTAAAGTACAGAGAATTTAAATTTTGCTAGTGTAATGTAATAGAATAAGTAGTAGATTTTGACAGTTTTCAGAGGCCCATAGACTTTCATTCTTAGCTGCTGTTGCATTAGTTTGTAATGTTTTCTTATAGTCATGTTTGCCAGCAGTGGGAAACAACATTGAAGAAGTCATGGTTGTTCTTGCCTCCAGAAAAATTCAGCTTAGAAAAGAATTAGACATTTCACATATAATTATATGTGATCAGGTGGTGTTATAAATACTCTGGGGATAAAGCATACTTAATTTTGTCTAGGTTTGAGGCAGGCTTCATAGGAGGTACCATTTAGCTATTAATATGAACTCTCTTGTAGGTTGAAAATGATTCTTCAAGTCCAGCATCAAGAAAAACCCCATTTAACAAAGGTAACATACTTGTATTTCTTTTGTAGCTCAATTCTATTATAGGGTCGTCTCTTTATTAACATGGTATTAAATTAATTGCTCTCAAATGGGCATATCTACCATTTGGTTTCTTAGTTATTTTCAATTTCATTGAAATGACTTTTAGAAATATACTAATCTTTTTTATTAAACTTTTTGTTTCAGAATTAGAAAACTCTAATATCGGAAAACTTTTCACTAATGCTATGGAATCTTTAGATGAAGAAGAGAAAGATTATTATTTTTCAAACTCTGATTCTTCATAGTAAAAATGAGAAATTTCCAGGATTTATATGAAGAAGACTGTATGTGTATCTTCATTTAGAGTACCTATATTTATAATGTAGTTTCATGTGAAATTGTGGACTCTTTTTCAAAGGACTTATGTGTTTATTATTCAAAGTTAAAGATCCTTTAGAATATTCCTCATTGTTTTAGCTTACTAAAAATATAAGGAAATTTATTTTGCTTGTTATATAGATATTTCTAAATTTGTTTTTGTTAAAATACATCTAAATAAGTCTCATAAGCATCTGAGTCTGTTATGAAAATCATGCTCCAAACCAGATTTTTAAACAGCTTTCAAGAAAATACTGCTATCCTTAAGGGAGGAGGTGGGGGAGAATAAAAGATAGATTGTATTGGTAGCTACTGAATTCACGAAAACTTTGAGTTAGCATTTTCCACCACTTGGTATACAAGCCAGAATTGATGTTTAAATTACGTGTTGTCGAAACTTTCATATGCTTTCTTTTCTCCTAATTGTTTTTCTTAAAACTTGTGATCGGCATATATATGAAACTGATGTAAACTTTTATTGCTTTTTCAGGTGGAACAGATTTTGTTGCATTCTTAAGCCTTATTTACATATGCAGACACAGCTTAAATTTGGTCTCAGTATTAAAAAAAACTGGATTAGACATACATTCAAGGTCTACCATTGTCAGCAGTTAAGTTAATATGTCATAATAAACATTGTCTTCCTTTTAGATAGTAGCTCTTTTAGAACTTTTTAGCTTATTCTGCCATTATGTTTTAAAACTTGACACAGGCTGTTCCCCTCTGGTTACAGTACATATTCTCCCTACCCTTTCTCTCTAGTTAGGTTCAAATAAAATTAGTTTGCTTTTATAATATTTGTGTGTGTGTGTGTGTGTATCTTTTAATTGTAGGACCATAGAAACAAAACAGGCATCTTATTACTGGTTCAGTTTGTTTCCTCAAAATATTCCAGAATTTTTAGTAAAAAATACATTTTCTTGTGTCCTAAGAATTTAGTCAATAATGGTCAGTTATGTAACTATAGGATTTGTAGAAACACAAGATTTAAAAAGAATAGTGCAGTTAGACTAAGATTATTCTCCTTTAAACTATCCTGCTTGTTTCTGCCACAAAGACTTGACAGGTGTATGATGGAAAACATGAGGTTATTTTAGAGTGGCTTTAAAGAAAAGAGTCGAACTTAAGTTACCAATATTTAGTATAATACCATGCTGCTTGACGTTAATAGTATTTTAGAAGTTATAAAGTAGTTAAATTCTTTAATGAGAAGCATAATTTTGAAATAGCATAGACTTGACACAAACAAAGTGACACTCCCCGCTTCGCTCCCCATAGTCCCTGTATCGTATCAACTGCAGCGTCCTTCCTAGTCTGTTCTGTATCCCACCTACCAAGTTCCTGGTTAGTCCCATTTCTTCCCATTAGGCCATGAGATAAGCTAGTAATATTTAAGGTAACATCCAAAGAAGACTTAAAAGTGAAAAAAATCTTAGGGCTCAAAGGAAAACAATAAGATGGACTGATAATCAATAGGGGTGATAGTTAAGTGCTACCAATGAGAGCTTTTGCAGCTTAAATAGGGACAGAACTCTCTACACAGCAAGCAGAAATAAAATCCTCTAGTTATGTCCCTTATATCATGTTAATTTATGAAATATTTTGTCTGCTGGGTAGATACAAAATCTGAGCACACTGGTGTCTGAATGGGAGGTGCTGCAATGTGGTCATTGGTCCTAGTGGCTGTGAAACTGCATGCTTCCGGCGTATAGCGGGGGCAGAACACTACCACATGTCCCTGCTCACATGCATTGCTGAAAGCCCTTATCTTCCTTCCACAGACAAAGCTTAAATCAAGCTCACCATGGGGAGAAATGCTCAGAAAGTCCAGTCCATCATAAGCAGAGCAAGGGTGAATTTGAACCTTAGAGATAATATGTTCATAACTGCATATCAGCCAATAACTTATAAAACTTCTTTTCTCTCTGGCTTTGACAATTACTGAAAAGCAGAAATATGAGATCAGTTGCTTTCAGAAGAATTGAAAATTTCTGCTACCCCAAAGGAGCTAAATTTACAATTAGAGTAACTTTTTAGTGAAAGAGAATTATATCCAGTTCCTGGGTTTTGGTTCTAGATTTCTGTAAGTCACTTGTTTCTGGCCCTCACTTTTATCATCTGATAAAGGAAAAAGAAAAGCAATTTAAATTAGATAAGCTCTGAAGTCTCTGCCAAGTCTACAGAAAGAAAAGCGCTCTGCTGTGAAGTTGGTTCAACTCCCCACAATGTAAAAGAAGAAAAAAAAAAAAAGGCAACCAGAGAATAAAGGACTTTAAATGGGGAAAGTGGAGGATCCATAATTAAGGGCTGCTTTAGCACTAGATTAGAAAGAAGAGCCTCAGCTGTTGCAGATACATACATTGTAATAGCATCACAGACAGTAATGGGTCACAATGAAAGTCCATATTTAATAGCTAACCTATACTAAAACAATTTTCCAAGTCAAGTCCAACAACAGAAAAAGTAATGTAGGTTGGAGTTTATACTAATAGGATTTGAGTACTTGATTGGGTTACCTTTGGTAAGCTATACATATTCAGTTACACTTTCTACTTTCTTAGTTACTGGGGCACTTAATATACCTACCACCCACACCTTATCCAATGTGTATATAGACTCAGGACATTTAAAATACTTGAGACGTTATAGTTTATATATAAGAAAAATTGTTTATAACCATTAAGTTGGCAACAGTCAAATCCATCAACATATTATGTTAACAAATCGCAATGACAGTACTAAAATCTTTGGGAAAATTCCATAATACATCTCTAGCTTTCACTTTCTTAATAGCACTTTCAATAACCTTTTATTATTGAAGAAAAAGCTTCAGTCTAATCGAATGATTATTGAACATCAGATTTTTAAATATATATATAAATAAAAATATGAAAGAGTAGATATGGAAGTGTTCTTATTTACATATTTTAAACTGATAATCACAACCCATAGCAATGATTATTGAAATGCATGAGAATTCTTTGATAACCGCACCTTGAGCAGTCTGATCATACGTCAGATTTCAGTCTACCTTGGTTAAGACCATTTGGTAACATTTGAATGTCAAATATATAGTGAATATATCTATAGATCTCCTCAGCCTTTTGACGAGTTATTTGTGCACACATGGAGATTTCTTGAGGTGAACTGAAAAATAAATTAGACAAAACGTTACACTAGAACTTTTGACTTATAAAATTTAATATTATCTTGCTTAAAGAACACCAAACATAAAAGCCTTTAAGAAAATCATTTCTTCCTAAGCATTCTACATCCAGTTAATATGTCTTTAGCTTTAGTTTAAGACAAAAGCTTGTTTCCCATATTTAAAATTGTATGTAATAATTTCAACATCTTACATGGGCCTTTAATTTAACCTATTTTCTAAAATCTTCCTTTTCAAGCAGTATAATAATCAAAAACTAGCAAATGTTCAATGCGAACATTTTTCTAGTTACAGAACAGTCCAGAAGTGTGAGAATGCAAGATTTAATATAAGTGCTGTCTAGTTTGCAATAGGGCTCTAAGCTCCTCAAAGGCAATGCCAATAAAGACACTGTACCCCTTTATTTTAAAAAAAAAAACAAAACATTAAAATTTCTATAAAATGCTTCTAAGAATCATTTAAAAGGAACTATTTAAAAATATTGAAATAGACATACCTGTTTGTCATCTTCTTCACAGATGAAAACTGGTGACACATATTTAGTGCAGTTATATAACTTACATTGGGAATAGTTAGATAAAATTGAAGTGCCTCACATTTATTACTGTTCACCACTGTTGGAACATGAATACCAACATTCTTTCTTTGTTCCACTAAAGACAGTTCCTTTAGCAAATCTGCAGTTTCTTCTTGGCAGGAACTGAAAAGAATTCGGATTCCAGCACCAATTAAGGTAGTCAGCAGGTTGTCATAGCACTTTGTTCTCCTAAACATCCTGGATGTGTCTCCTAAATATTTCATATTTAGGAAAATGCAAATCTTAGTAACTTACATTAACTAGAATTATTAATACCATACTTTTATTATTAAAATCTCAAGATCTATACCATTAAGCAAACTAGTGCCACATTATGCTAATGAAAACCCTACAGCTAAAGATTTAAAGAGATTCTCAAATAGCTGAGATAAAATAGAACTGTCTTTATGAATGTCTTGAATTGGAATCAACATAGGAAGGTGAGTAGGCAGGGAAGAGCTTATATTCTTAGATAATTCATTCCTAAAAGCCAAGACTATATTACTTGTCTATAATAAAATTCTTCATAATGCTAGCTGATGAAGAGTTCATAATTATTGGTTTTACTGATATAAAATTCTTATATATTTATTTCAAGAGTAACTCAATACCCTGCACACCCATTTTAATGTAACCTTTAACTCTTGTCTATTAATTTACTTCCCTACCTTTCCCTTTCATTTTCTTTCCATATTCTACCCATATCCTCTTTTGGGCATTTTTGAAATGCCAAAAAAAAAAAAAAAAAACCTTTTCCTTAACTTTTGCCATGTTACTTTCATCTTTATTCCAAATCTATTTCCTTTATAAAGGATACGTTGGTAGAGAGCAAATTGTAGCATTTTAGCACTAAGAAGACCCAAGATATCACATAATCTAGAGCCTTGTGAAATTTTTTTAAAAAACTGGATTATTGAAAGATAAAGAGTGACTTATCCAAGATCACGTGGTTCACCAAGCGCTGCACGGTGATGAAAACGTACACTGTTAAATTACCAAACCAATGTTTTACATAAACTACATGATTTCCTTTTACATAATGACTGTATAATTCTTGAATTTTTCCATAGTGGCTTTCACCCACATGATTTCACTTAATCTTCAACATCACAAGATGAATAGGACAAGTACATTATTAATTCTTCAGAGGGAGTGATTTATCAATGCAAATGTCACATAGCAATTGAGACAACAGAACTCAGTACATCTTCTGATTCCATATCCTCTGATTTTTTCACTATTCTCAGGGATTCCCAATATAATTAAATATTACCCATAGAAATTCCCCACCTTAAGCTCCAATCTTGCATTCTCAAATGCATCCTAGATATCCATTTCAGTGACCCTTTGAGAACTCATCTTAATGTGTTCAACACTAAACACCTCTTGTCCCTCAATTCTACTGCTTCTCTTATAATTTCAATAAAAAGCACCACTACCTAACTGCCCAATAACCAAGAAATTGGTCAACTCAAGAGTAATTCTTGACTCTTCCCGCTAATTCCGCTTCCTAAACCTCCTGGATCCTACTTTTCCCCGTTGCCGCCTTATTTAAGGCCCTCGTCCTTTCTGGAGCTTCTGAAAAAGACATGATAAGGTTCACTTGCCTTCAGTTTATCACCTTTCAATTCTCATGATCTGCAGTTAAACACGATGACTAATGAAAAACATGGCACTAAGTAAATATGAAATGATATTCATCAATCAGGTATTACAAGAGCTTCCCACATCCTGACAATAGAAGAAAACTAAATAATAGTCAAGTTCCTTTACAGCCTCATAAACAAAAATATTTTAAAGTACAAACCTGTTTTTTCTCTGTCTTTTTCCACAATCACACATACTCTTTCAAACATGCTCTGCAGGTACTGGATCTGGTCAATGAACTTGTTCTTATTAATATTATTTAACATTTCAGACTGAGACCTTCTTTCTACCACCATGCGGTTACTCACAATGTAATCACAACCATTAAGAGGACAGACCTCTACTTGAAAGCCATGAATTGCTCTTAGTGAAGAAATTATTTCTGAACCAGAAGTGATTTCACGACTATCTACAAGAATACAAGTTCTCTGGTTTTCCCGTGGATGTCTAAGAGCACCATGTGTGCCAGCCAAACTTGGTCTTGGATTGGAAGAGGATGCTACTGAAGTGCTAGAATCCTCCGAAGTACTACCAACCTGAAAAAATGAAAAACATTGATCATGGTTAGGTTAAGTGTATATTAGGGCCACAAACCTGAAGGTGATTTTCCTTACGGATACTTTTTACTTTCTTTTTACTTTTTTCTTCAACATAACCAAAGGGACTATGTAGATGGAGGACCAGGCCACCACTTCACACCTAGTAGAATGGCTATTTAAAAAAAAAAAAAAAAGGAAAATAAGTGTCGATGAGACTGTGAAAAAACTGGAACGTACACTGCTGGTAGAAATGTAAAATGGTGCAGCCACTGTAGGTAACGATTTGGCGATTCCTCAAAAAGCGAAACAGAATTACTCCATAACCCAGTAACTCCTAGGTATTACCCAAAAGAAGTGAAAACAAACTCAGATATTTGTATACCAATGTTCATTAATATTGGAAAATCTCAGCCACTGTCTGTTGAAATGTATCTTCTACCCTCTTCTCTTATTAATGCCAACTATATGTATCTTAGACTAGTGATGCAGTCCCATAGCTCTTAGATGCTCCATTTGTTTTTTCACTCATTTTTCAGATTGGGTCATTTCTACTGACCTTGCTTTAAGCTTGTTGGTTCCTTCCATGACCGTATGGCGTCTACTAATGGGCCCACTGAACACATTCTTCATCTCTCTTACTATATTTTCCATTCTAGCATTTCCACTTTGTTCTTTATATTCTCCATTTCTCAGAAAATATTCCCTATCTGTTCATGTATGTTTGTTTTACTTTTCCTCTAGAGTCTTGAACATATTAATCACGGTTATTTTAAATTCCCTAATTCTGATAGGTCCAACATCTGAGTCATATTTGAGTCTAGTTCTTGAGTAACCAAACATCTTGTGTAAAACTGTGGTAATTCAGGTAAATAGTATTTATGCCTAGAAACAGGTATGCCTTTCTTTTGCTTGGCCTTTAGTGTGTAGGGCTGAGTAAATTTAGTCAAATTTGAGTTTGGTTTGGGTTTTCTTATTGCTATGATTACTTTAGGTATAGTCAGAGGCTTTAAAATTGGTAGTGTCACTTTGTATTTAGGGTGGGGGCTGGGTTGCCAGATGATTTTTCTAAATGTTCTCTCAGCTTTAGGTCTTCTCTGTGAGCCTGAGCCTCATGGAGGTCCTCTTCCCAGACAATTGTTCCTTCCTCAGCAGAGATTGCTTTTATTTGTTACTTAGTGCTTGCTAGCCTGGTTGGAGGGAGCACTAGGAGCATCCTGTTGCTGGTATGGAGAAGGGAGTTCTATTCTCCCTGGTTCAGTCTGTCTTGGGTAGGACTTCTGTCCCTGGGTCTCAAAGGTGGAACCTTCTCAGTGACCCTGCCTTCTTTCCCAGTGGTTGGAGATCTCTAATGTTCTAGGCCCAATATGTTTTCCTGTGCCTTCTCGGGTATAGAGCATTTTTTTTCTTATCCCCTTCCTCCATCTGCAAAGGGTCCTTGCCTAGGCCCTAATGGCTTTAGGGTTTGCTACTCTTTTCCTAGTTGCTCAAAGCTTTTTGTTCCACAGGGGAAATAGGGCAGAAGGAACCAGATAGAGTTTGGTTTCTTCTCCACAGTAACGGCTGGTCGCTTCCACAAGGCCTGCACCAGGAAGGAGGCTTTCTCTGATTCTGTCTTTCCTGTGAACACCTGATGAGTCTGTGGAAATAGGCCCATGAAAGGTTGCAAATTCCGTTCTGCTGCAACTCCCAGGGGTTCTAAACTCCCATGCTAGTCCACTGCCTTTTGTAATTCATTAAAGTTTTAGCTGAATTCTTCTTACCAGATTGTATAATACCCAGCGACTGTTCCAAATCAGCAACTCTCTCACTGGAAGCACTGGTCTTTCCTTAGATATCAGACTAATTGGTTGCTCTGCAACTTCAGCTCCATAAGAATCAAGTAAACTTATGATTTTGTAGATTACCTGGCTTTTTTGTTGTTGTTATAAGGATGGGAACAATGCTCTTTCCAGCTTGCTACGTCATAAGCTAAAGATGGAAGTCCAAATAACTCAGAAATAATCTTTACAATATATTCAGTTTCAAAAAACAAAAAAGAATAAATGTAATGAAGGAAGAAATGGCAACTAAAAAAAAATACTGGATATATGTAGTTATCTTGAAGTAGAAAATGGCTTTCTAAACATGACACTAAAGTCAGAAACTATAAAGAAAAAAATTTGGACTGTATAAAACAGTTACCTCTTCCTATGGCAAAAACCACTACAAACAAAACAAGAAGGTAAATGACAGACAAGGAATACTGTTTGTAATATACATGACAAAATAAATGTTTTCATTTTTAGTAACTAATGGGTTTTGACTGGATATTTAGTTTATTTTCTGTCTTCTCAAATTCTTTCCTTTCATAATTTCAAGGGAAAAAAGAATCATACTATATGGAATATTAGATAATAGATGAAAATCTAAAATACATTTCTGTTAAAATCTGTGTATCTTTTTTCATAGTCCTCAAAGTATTACTAGCCTATGTCAATTTTTTAGTTAGAACATGCTAAAGTAGAAATGTAGAAAGTGCTTACTGGGTTTTAAAGTATTGTGCATATATTACCAACCTTGACTCTTAGGGTTACTATCTTTATACTACAGCTGAGGATACTAAGGCTCAGAGAAATTAAGTACTTTCATGATCTCCAATCTATTATAAGACTTAATCTAGTCAGCTTTATCCTAATTAAACCTTCAAGAAATAACTTTGTGCAAAAAAAAAAAAAAAGCCTGGGGACAATTTAAAACTGGAAACATCAATTTGAGAGCCATTGTGTAGACCCTGGAGCTTGGTGCCAATGCAAGATGGACTGGAAAACCCGGAATAAAAGAAATAGAAGTCTAGATCTAGATTTCACTCCGAAATGACAAGAAAGGAAATGAATCTATATTTACAGTTCCTATTACTATGATTTTAACCCCTATTTTAGTAAAACTGCTGTAACTATAAACTCTTAAAAACTAAAAATGGTTTTAGGGATTGTTCAGCAATAGGGAGATAGGGAGAACCTGGAAACTGGACTACTTAGCTGTTCTAGAAAGAAAGAAATCTAAAGGAAGGAAATAAGGTGATACCTCTGTTCTCCCCAATAAAGAGATGAGAGCTACATACCTTAAGTCTTTAGGGTAAAGAAAAGTTAATCTGGGGGAAACTACTGAGCATGTAATTTCTGCTAATTTTGCCTTGCAAGAAGCCCACTTTCAAACAGTCTTTTTATAAAATTAGCAAGTTTCCTTAAAGAGCGTTATTAAGAAAACTATTAACACATTTAAAATTATAAAAACTAAGCATCTATATATAAATTGTCTATATAATTTAGTGTGCTGTTTTCTTGTTTGAAGAATTAATTTCATCACTAGCTAATTTTTCTTTGACCTGGTTATTTAACACAAAACACAAAAGAAAGCAAAACAAAACAAAATAAAAAAACACCTTTTGGTAAACATATGAAGGTTTTTTTCCTCTACTTTGATCCATACCTTTAACTGAATTGGAAAGTCTTTCTTTGACTCAACAGTAGTGAACGATGTTGAGGTACGTTCAATATTATTATTGCTCTGAGGTTTGAAGTCCCAGACATCAGAAACTGTATCCTTTAAATTAAGTGCTGTCTGTTGTCTCTCCTTTGGCAATAGATTAACAATTGGATTAGAATGGTCCTTGGACTGCAAGGAAGATCCAGAAGGCACTAAATTCAAACAATGGTCCTGTTGTTTGCTCTTTTTAACCATGCTTTGGTTACCCACTGTATTGGATTCTCTTTTATCATTTACATTGTTCTCCTCCTCACTTGAATCATCTGGTAAAATAATTCTGGATAATTTCTTTTTTGAATGTGCACAATTTTGTCTCATCTCCACTTGTCTTAGCTTTACTGCACGTCGGGTTTTATATTTTTTACTCCCATCTGCAAAGCAATCTTCATTTATTAAATTAAAATCAACACACACTTCTTGACTTGATTGGCTTTCACAAGATTCCTCTTCATCAACACAAAAACTGTCTTCTAGATAGGATTCATCTTGCTCAGGAATCTAAAGTAAAAATACAAATAAGACTATTACAAATTTCTTTCATAAAATCAGCACATATTTAACATATTCTTTTTAAGTATGTAAGATCTTCATGAATATTTATTTCATTTACTTTATTAATTCAGTCACTTGCTCAACTAACATATACTGAATAATTCTTTATGGAAAAAAGTGGGTACTTTAGGGATAAAAAAATAATGACTTACCCTTTAGAAATTAATAATCTAGTGCAGGTACCCAGAAAAACAAACAGTAATTTATAAACAATATGATTTCCGTAATAAACACAATGGAAGTACAGAGATATATGAATGACCATATTAGCAGAGTGAACACGGCAATTTATAAATTTAGACTAATATAAAAATGTTATCATCAATAGAAAATCTGTAATTTTAGAACATAACATTTTTATGAAAAAAATAAGTTTTCAAGAGAAATATAACATAAGAATTAAAAATTTAATGAGTAGATGGTGAAGTTTTATTCACTTCCTATAAACATGCTTCTAACTGAAAAATAATAGTATATTCTAATTAGTTCAAATTAAAGGAAGGATAATTTGATCAAATTAGTACTAAAAGGGATTTCGAGAATTCATTTAGTCTACCTTCCTAACTCAGGACAGAAATAATCCCAATTAGCTCTGATAGTCCAATTTCAGAAACAAAATGAAGGTTTCATTAACAGGAACTTATTTCGACATCACCATCAAGAAATTATCTGGAGTTCATACCTGTGAGAAAATGTTTATGTTATGTTTCTTATGGATCATTTTGTACCGACTGTTCATCAGTGGACTGCGCAAAGATTTCATGTAAATAGCTCTCATTTCAGAATCTGTGTAAAGAATAAAAATTTCAAATAGCAACATTATTTAAATGAAAACTAGCAAACTATTTAACTTTGACTTATTCCTAATTCACATAATTCCAACCTCATGGAATTGTAATATACAAAAGATAGTTAAAAGATATTGAAACATCTAAAAACAATTATTCAAAAATACGAAGTTAAGAATTTTGCCTTCGAAATCAGACCATCTAGTTGGGTGATCATGAACAATTTATTTAAGCTCTTTAACTCAGCTATCTCCTCCTAAAATACGGATTAGGATAGTGCCTATTCATGAAAAATAAATGTATACAAAGACTTTTGGACTGTACCTCATTTATAGAAAGTATTTAATAAAATACCAGAAATCCAGGCAAAAAAAAAACAACAACAAAAAACCAACACAAAGACATATGTTTGGACTCTCATTCATAGATAGAAAGTATTTAATAAAAAACCAGAAATCCAGAAAAAAAAAAAAAAACAACAAAAAACCAACATGCTTATAAACATCAAAAGCCACAGCCAATATTTTATAGGTTTCATAATTTTCAGTCAAGCCAAAACTAGCAAATGTACAGGTTTTTATTTATGCCTATCTTTTTTTTTAAGGTTATAATCAGAAAGCAACTTTATTTTTGTCTCCCATTTTCCCTTAATTTTGGGGTGATTAATTAACGTGTTAAACTGAGGTATAACATTGCTAATTTAATGACTATAGTGCTTGGTACAAGATGTATAAGTTTTTCTTGAATAATCTTTTCCTTATCTTCAATTCCATAGCTAGCTTCAACTATTACATATCCTCTTGACCTAACTATCCAGTTGTTACTCATGCTAAATCCCTACAGAATGAGACCTTACTTACAGTTTACTGTTTAGAGGGGCTCAGAATCAAGGAGCTTTCAGATTTTTTTTTTTAGGTATAATGTACATATAGTAAAATTCATCCTCTTTAGGGTATAGGTCTGAGTCTTAACAAATGCATAGTTATGGTAACCACTAATCTATTTGTTGTCCCTACAGCTTTATCTTTTTCAGAATGTCGTATAAATCAAAGTATACAGTATATAACTTGTTAAATCTGCCTTTTGTCACTAAGCACAATTCATGAGATTCATATGCCTATCATTTTTTAAAGTTATAGCACAGAATACTTAAGAAATGAACATCAAGGGCATAATGCTGACACCTTGTCCTGCAAATCATGTCAGTATCAATGACATAGCACTGAAAACTTCAGGACCTTTTCTTTCAGAGTCATGGACCTTGGGAAACTTTGCTGTCTTATCATATCAGAGATTGCAAGAACATAATAAACGGCAAGATCTGTAAAAGACCAGAACATTGTAGAGCTCATCAAAATATTTCCTATTTCTATTATAGCCAATCTGAATCATCTTCTCTTAATGAATTATGTATAAGATGTACTCAAGCCTTGTCTGGAGAGACTTTACCAAAAGTCAATCTCCTTTACTTGGCAAATTTAATAAATTTGGCTTTGTGCTTCAGCTGGTTTTAAAAATCTACATTGTTAAATTCTTCATCTCATTCTAGAGTGTGATCATATGAATGTCACCTTCTCAATAAGGTTTAGCCCTAAATAGCTTATATAAAATTGCAACTTATCCATTATTAATACCCACAACCCCTTCCACAACAAATCATCATTTTCATTTTTTATAAATTTTTTTATCTTATATTACATAATTTAGTTATTATATCTATTGTTGTCTCTTTCCATTTAAATGTAAGCTTCATAAGGGCAGAGATATTTCTGTCCATTGTTTTCACTGATATAGCTTTCTCAAGAACCTTACATAGTACCAGGCATGTAGTAGGCACTAAAAACTTGTTAAATGAACATTTAACACCAAGTCAACCAGGTTGTTCTGGAGAAACAATCAAATTAGCAGAAGCCTATAAACAAATAAGTCTAAAATAAAGCAAATACTACAGAATTTGAATGAAAATGACCAAAAATTTCATACAAACCAAATTTAATTCCCTTTAAAGTCAAGGCTCTTTGAAAAGTTGCTAAAATATTTAAATACAGCCACATTAGAAGCATTGAAAATTAAAAGAAAAAGGCATCATTATATCATTTACCATCTATGGCCTGTGAAAGTTGAGTCTCATCATTTAAGAAGTCAAGCAATGAGGAATCTTTTTCATTTTCTGACTCATCATTTTCATCTGATGAAACATATTCTGCATCTTCTTGGGTAAGCTCTGCTTCATTATCTAAAAACTTCCTAGCTACAAACTAAGATAAATTAAAAAACAAGAAGATACTGTTAAGAAAATCATTTACTTATAGTTTTGGAAAATAGATTTCTTTTAAGACCATAAAATAAAAATAGAAAATTGCCAGAAGAATTGATAAAGTAGCACATCTAAATTTCTTATGATAATTCTTATAAGTAAAATAAAGTACAAGTCAGCATGTCAGCTTAAAGAATGTTTTTCTTTTTCTTTTTTTTAAATAAGAATAAAGTCACCTGAGTCTTCTGGCTATTTTAATTTTTGCCAGGAATATACTGCACCATAAAAGTACTGATCAGAAAAAGCTGCTGAGAATTCTTTTCCAAGGATTTTTTTTTAAATGCCAAGGATTTGAAGATTGGATAGAGATAAGAAAAATACTACAATGATTATAAAAGCAAATACAATAAAACTGATTTCTGTCTCTATGTTTTCTTCAATTTGAATCTTAAATTCTCAATACACTACAGTTTCTTTATTTAGAAATTCAAAATAACACAGCACTACAAGATAGTTTCAGAACAAACACACACACACAAAAACAAAAATACCATACCTTGAGATTTTAATTCCAGTAAAAAAGGTAAAATTTGGGTAAAAATATTTAATTTGGAGATTTTTTTCTTCTATTAAGAAATTATAGACAGAAATCTACTTCTATGTAAAACCTAATGTTCTTTACTAATTAAATACATATAGTACATATACGTATGTATAGAAATTAAAGACTGAAAAAAGTTTACCTTTAGGTGACTCTGTCTGTTTTGGACTTTGATGCCTCTTTTGATGTTCCTGTTCTGACTCTTGAAGTCTTCTAACTGTGGATGTTGTTGGTGAAAATTCTCACTCTCATCACTAGATGATAACTCTAACTATAATAATTTAATAAAATTCTTGCATAAGAAAATACAACTGGATTATTGTATCTTAATGTATTTCTCAAGGGTTGTTGCTTTCACTTCCATTTTTTCCTTTTAAAAGTTGGCCTAACATTTTCTTGTTAGAAAAATAAAATGCTCTCACAACTCAGAACCATGTTACAAATACATAATACTTAAGGATTGAAAAATTAGGTAATACTAAGTACTAAGATATACAATTAGGTAATATAAGTAATACTAAGATAGTAGTCATTCAATTTAGTATTACATAAAATGTATTTGATGAAACATATTTTCAATTTAACTGTTTCCTTTAGAATATCCTGAAAGGCTTCACAAAATATAGTTGTCTGTAAATATAGCTATCAAAATCAGTCCGACAAACAAACAGAGACTCATGGACATGGACTATAGACTAGTGGTTACCACAGGGTAGTGGGTAGAGGATGAGGCGGGAGGTAGATGGGGTAAAGGAGGTCAAATATAGGGGGTAGGGGGAAGGTGAAGTGGGTAATGGGAATCGAATATGTGATAGCTGAAGGAATCTGGACTTTGGGTGGTAAATACACAATAGAATATACAGATGTCAAATTATAATGTACACCTGAAAATTATATAATTGTATTAACCAATGTTACCCCAATAAACTTAAAAAAAAAAGGTTAGACTAGGACTTCTCAAACTATAGTATGTTTGTAAAAGCACAGATTCCTGCCCTAGAGGTTCTGATTTTGTATCCATTGCTTGTTCCACTGTAGTATGTTGCATTCACTTCATGGGTCCTCAGAGCAGGTATAGCAGATATGAGTGGGATCCAGGCAAACTCCTACCTCAAGTCTTAGTCCGAGGTGGTTCATGGTTTATATCTGCAGGAGCCATTAGGGGACGTGAAAGACCCAAGTCCAATCCAGATTTGCTAACTGGAGTCATTGGCAGCAGCACCTCTCTGCTTTTTGGGAAACCGCCCCATTGGCAAGAAAGTACATCTCTCCTGAGGTATACAAGGCAGGAGCCATGGATCCCTGAATCAGCATCTCCGGCCCACTCCACTCCCCTCCCCAACTCTGCCCTGGTGAACCACAGAAAAATGAAATTAATTTGTAACTTAAAACCCTTGTATCTGGCCTGAAAATATGTCAGAGTGCTAGATCTACAAAGAACATTTTCTCTAAAATGGAAATCTGTAACTCAACTGCTGCTATCTGATTAAATAGCAATTAAAACCCTCAAGACTCTTTGGAACTTTCAAAGATTATTTGAAATGCAATTGTGTTGTATTGATTAAATAATTTTAAGCTAATAAGAAAGTCACTGCATTTCTTAGTCAATTCCTTCGCAAATAAATTTATCTTATTTATAGACAACAACAACAACAACAACAACAAAATCAGTCCAAACATACAGCACTCCTTTCAAACCAAGAAAATCAATATAAAAATAAGGAATTTAGATGAGAGGGTCTATCAACTACATCTTTTACAGAATAATCTAAAACCAATCAAAAGAATCAAAGAAAGTTATTAAAATAATTTCAATTAATAGGAATACTTTGAGTGATTTGATCATCAGCATTATCAATATTTTAATTCACTTCTGAGAAGCAGATCAGACATTCTAGTTAAGGTAGCAAGTTAAAGTAATTTTTTCTAGTCTACGAGTATACAAAGTTAATACGGACTGACAGCATTTTTAATTAATTTTACACAAATTATCAGATTTTATTAGAGAATTAAAACACACAAGATTTCCTCATCTCAAAATTTACTTATCAGCCATGAGCTGATGACAAATGAATACATTAGGCTTAAGACTTGCTCCCTCCTCCAACCCAAACTTCATATTCACATAGTCACCAATGCCTTCCAGACAGGGACACTTCACTGTCCCATCAAAACCTCAAACTCAAACATGTTCATCAATGAACTTATCTCTTTCTTGTCTTCTCTAGATTTGTGACACATCTGCCTAACAGCCCAAGCCAAACACCAGTCCTACTGGAAAGTCATCCTTTCCTTCTTTCAAATCCATTCAGTAAGCAAATGAAAAAACACCAAGTATGGACCCAGATTTTTCTCCAATGTTATTTCCTGGCACTCTTTGTCTTTACAATCTAATAATATGCTGTTTCACAACTTTGTGTCCTTTTTTAAAATGTTCATTCTGTTGGCAATACCTTCTCTTCTCCCTTCTCTTATCTATGCTTTAAGATTTAATAAGGTTTTATCTTCAAGAAGCTTGCCAGAACTTCCAAAGTCTAGGCTAAGGGCTTATTATCTTTTCTTAATGCTTAACTCAAAATATTACATTAAATATATACATTTACCTCCCCTCCTCCCCCAAAAATCCATTTACCTATCTTTGTCTCCTATTAGATTATAGGTGATTTAAAATAGTATCAGATATAATCTTTATAGTATCCCCAGCACCTTACACTGTATATACACAGTACGTATTTAAAAAAACATTTGCTGAATTGCTGATGTGTACTGACAAAAGTAGGGATAGTTTCTAAAAGGAGAATAAAATTAAAATAGAAATTCCAGTCACATAGGATGTAATATCTATTTTTCTGTTAACTATATACCTGTAAGATCAAACATAATGACATTCACCTATACAAATATATTTCTTGTAATATTTGCTCCAAAAGAATCTGAACATACTATACATTATGTTTATCTACTTACTTTGTTTAGAGGAACCCTGCGCTTTTTTACAGCATGAAGAGGAGAATCAACTTCACTATTTTTCTGATCCTAGATAAAGTAGATAAATAGATAAAGTAAAAGGTTAAAAAAAAAAAAGTAAAGAGAGAGAAGATGCCTTTATGATCATACTTCTGTGATTACTGAACGACTCACCTCAGGGGATTCTAAAACATTTCCTTTTTTTTTTTTACTCTTTCTTTGGAAAATCTCATCATCTTCACTTTCATTGCTTGTTAACTGTTCACCTAGAATGTATTTTAAAATAATGAATCTAGTTAATAGATTTAAATTTATCCAGCCATGCTATTTTATAGATAGATACGATAAGAATTGTTTTTGTAAATCTCAACACTTATTCACTCTCAAAAAAAGATCATTTTTCAGAAGTTTGGCCAAAAAAATCAGCAGACAGAAAAATAAAAATGCCAGTGAAAATTAAATCAGCATAGGAAGAGACAGAAAAATAAAACAGTGTCAGTGATAAAATTGAGATAACTTTTGTAATAAACACATACTTGAGTTCAATTTTACAAATTAACTGAAAAGAGGCTAGAAGAATATAAAATGAAATTTTATTAGTCAAAGTTTCAGAATTCAGCTTTAAAATCTACTATAGTCTTTCTGCCCTTTGTGTCTTATTCTCTAAGTGAAAAAGTTAAAGAATGATAACGCAGTCTACAAAACAATATATAAAAATTTTTTTTCTATGTCTCTATATATGTACATATACATGTGTGTTTGTGCACAAGCATGAAATAAAAATTGGTAAGATATTCACTAAAATGTTGTAACTAGAACAACACATTAGGAAGGTGGAAAGAATGCTAGAAACAAAACTCATGTATGAAATTGAATGCTTCAAATGTTCAGGTACTTAAAGCTCTATTTCTGCACTTTCATAAAATTTTGATTGAAGACACTTCTTTGTGTCTTCACGAAAGATTCTGTTAAGAGCCCTGTGGTTGTTTTAGGATATGTTCATAAATTCTTTGATATGCCTCCCTTCAAGAGGTGAATCAGAATTCCTTAAGTGTGGGGTAGACTTAATCACTTGCTTTTAAGAAAAGAATATAGTGGAAGTGAAGGTGTGTTACTTCAAATTCTAGATCATAAAATTCATTGCAGCCTTGCTCTCACTCATATCACCCACTTTGGAGGAATCTAGATGCTGTATTGTAAGGATATAAGAAGTAACCCTATGGAGAGGCCCATGTGGTAAAAAACTGAGGCCTCCTACCAACAACAATATAATCCTCCAAGCTTATTCAAACCTTCAGATAACTCCAGCCCTGGCCAACGTCTTGGTTGTAACTTCATGAAATATCCTAGGCCAAAACCACTCAACTAAGACACTCTTGAATTCTTGGTCCACAGAAACCGTGAAGTAATACATTTATTTTTTTTAAGCCATTAATTTTGGGGGATGATTTGTTATACAGCAATTGATAAATAATACAGATTTTGGTACCAGGAAATAGGGAATTGCCATACCAAAATCCTAAAGTGTGGAAGGAGTTTTAGAACTAGGCTGAGGGCAGAAGCTGAAAGGATTTTGAGGAGAATCTTAGTGAAAGCTTGAAGAGACTCGAAAGAATTGTTTTGTGGGAATAATTTCTTGGAAGATTAATGACCATTGAGGAGGCTACAGGTGGGAGGTTAAAGAAAATAAAATCTTATTAGAAATCAGAAGAGAATCCTTTTTGTAGTGCCAGAAAGTTCAGCAACATTGCAATAACATGGAAAGTAGAAAATGTACCTACACACAGGTATCACCTGTGTTTCTTGCTGTTAAAGTAAGTTGCAAAAGAGATAAACTAAAGGTCTATTAAGTGTGAAACAGCTGAGTCTTGCTGGCTTTAAAAATGCCCAGCTTCTCCAGCTGGCAAATAATGTTAAATTAAGAAATCTTCCAGGCAAAGATCTAATCTAGAGGACTGCCAGGGAAACACTGTCCAGATGAAGCTGAGGGCGTTACTGTAGAGGCTTTAAGACCTAAGAAAGATCAAAGATGGTGCCTCAAAGTACCATTTAGTTCAGATAAAAGGCTCTCTAAATATTTTAAGGAAGTCTCTCACAGATACTCTCAAATAATAGGCCTTCTAAGAATATTAAAGAACTATCTTTAGACATCTCAGCAGAAGTTCAAGTTAGAAGAGTTACTCCAAAAGATTAGTGGGCATGGCTAGTGTGAACCTTATTAACTTTCACAAGATTCATGAGAATTATATGGGAAGAAACACAGCCAGCTACAACTGGAAGAGGCAGAGAAAGGAGAAAAAGAAAAGAGGCCTTTGTAATCTCAAACTTTTAATAAACGAAGCAGGCTGAGAAAACTCCACAGGTGCTACCTGTTACGAAAAAGGATCAAGCACCTAGAGGACAAAGCCAAGAACCATGGAGACTTATTCTCAGGGTTTGAGTTCTAATCAAGAAACTTCCAATCTTGGTTCTGTTGGATTTTAGAAATGCTATGGACTACAGATTTCTGTGTGCCTTCCATCATCCCTCATTTTGAACAAGCCATCTTGAAAGCAGATTCCCCATGTCTTCAGATGACTGTAACCAGGTGAAATCTTGATAACCTCATGAGAAATCATAAGGTAGAACCAACCAGTTAAACAACTCTAGAATTTCTAAACTACAGAAATTGAGATAAATATTTGTTATTTTAAGCCACTAATTTTGGGGGCAGTAATAAATAACTAGTAGAAATTCATACAGTAAATTCCTCCTCACATCTGTGTCAATAAAACATCTACCCAGACAGATAAACTTCAATAAATCCTTTTTTGCAGATAAGCACAGTATTATCGAACCAGTTTTCTTTTTTTCAGTATCTTCCAAGAAAGCTAGAGTTAAATGCAGGGCTCAGCTACAGTAACCAACCAATTCCAGGAGGCTTTCCTTTTAACTGCTTTAGTGGTATTTTAATGAACTATTTTTGTATCCATGTAACATTGCAAATGATCTTAAATCCTCTAGTTCAATTAGGTGTAATAAAAAATACTAAATAAATATTCTGATAAATAATTCCCTAATACATATGTATTCATAATTATATTGCCCATGGTTAGTAGTTAAGTGCAATGCTAGAAAAAAAGTTTTAATGCAAATCTGACACAAAGACAAAAAAAAAAATTTGATACCAATTACAAACTTAATATAAAGGTGTTAAAGCAAATACTGAAGGCTCACAGGCAACAGAAACACTTAGTAAAAATACATATGTCAGAGTATATCTAAAACTATGCAGAATAGCCTGTTTTTGAAAATTAAATATATTTTCAGAATTTACTTTAAACAAGTTTTATTGTAAATAAAACATTCTTGAATCAAGCCCTCCATACTACTGAGAACAACATAGGAAAAAGATTTAGAGGAAACTTATTTTATCCTGCAACTACTCTTTTTACATAGCCATAAGGACTAAAATCCATAAATGTCTTGGTATAGTAATCTATACATAGAGTTCAGGATTTAAAGGACACTTAAATAACTTTATTTATTTATTTATTTATTTATTTATTTATTTATTTATTTTTTATTTTTTTTATTTTTGGGGGGAGTACACCACTCAATTTTTTACGCCTACAGCACCTGGTCTTCCTAGGTGGTCTCTCATCCAAGTATTAACCAGGCCCTACCCTGCTTAGCTTCTGAGATCAGATGGGATAGGGCTTGTTCAGGGTGGCATGGCTGTAGACGACACTTAAATCATTTTAATATCAAATATCTATCATTATATTTTCTAGTTTTTCTATAAATTATATCATAGAAATGCAGAGATTCCTCTTCATCTGCCATGGTCTTGTCTCAATCCTCCAAATATAGTGCTAGTTCTCAACTGTTTTTGCTATATAAACTTTCTAGTTTATTCTACCCTCCCCGCCAAAATATTACACTTTCCTTCTTACCCTTTGTTTTTAACATTTTTATAACATCCATATTCCCTATTATTTTCAACATAACCCAATAATAAATATTCCTGGGGAGCCAAAATGAAAATCTATATTTAATAAAAACCTATAGTTCCAATCTAATCCAGTTCAAAATTTTGAAATTTTCTAAACCTCCTGAACATCCACTATCTTATTATTCCTTTAGTAGTTATTTACACATTATTGGTTATTTTTTCAAACGTATATTTGTGGTTTACAATCATGGGCTATGGCCAATTCTTATACTTCTGCATTTCAGTGTAATACTTTTCACATGGTACACATGCCATAAATATATATGTAGATAAAACAAATTTTATATCAGTAAACATCAACTTAAGGAATATATATCAATTATCTAATTCAATATACTATATACTGAGAAATTACATTTTGAAAAATGAGTTTATCTAAAGTAACTATTCTAGAAAGATTTGTGTTTTATAAAGATGAAATCTTACCTTCAGAATGACAGGATTGCTGCAGACTGATTTGTTCCTTGCCTTTAGCTTTTTCTATAGAAAGTCCTGAATCATCAAAAGTTGAATTCAATGTTTCTTTGAAACTTTGTAGATTTACTTTTCCCTTATTAGAATCTGGCGTCCTAGGCATTTCCTTTCTCTTTTTAGAAAATGAGTTCAATGTGTTTGATTCACAAAGTGGTGTACTCATAACTTTTTCTCCTACTGGCAAAAAGAACTGAGTATATCCAGGAGACATAAATTGCTTATTTTTTGCTGTACTCAATGGAAAATGTGCAGAAGTAGAACTCTGTTTATCTTCACTGGATGGGATAATAATGGTTTTACTTGTAGAACTATCAGCATGATCTCCTGGTATTACTGATTGATTTGAAACATAATTTGCATCACTTATCTCCTTAATAACAAAACACCTTTCAGATGGGTCATCTAAAAATTTATTCTTATTTGTAGCTGATGCATGTTCCACTATTTCATCATCAGAATCTGGACTACAAAATCCTAAATCAAAGGTAACAGAAAATAAGTCCTTAGAGCAGTCAAAAACATATTCATCATTCTTCAGTTTTTCCTCACCTACGCCTGTCAAATCTCCATGAGATTTCCAATAATTAGTATCACAGATAATTTGATCTTGGGGTTCAGAATTATTGTCTAACAAAAGTTCATCAGAAATTAAGAATTGAGAGACCAGTGTCATCTCACTTATACCAATTTTGTCTGACAGACATAAGGATTTGCATTTACTATTTGAGGGAGAAAGGCTTACATCATCTTCAAATAGTAGTAAACTTTCATCCTGATCAGTGAGCAATGTTGGGAGGCCATTGTTATCAACACTGCGATTGTTTTCAACAAAATACTTTGGAGGGCCTATGTTTATTTGAGTATGATTGTTGGATACTAACTTTTCATTTTTAGTATCTTTACATACTTTATCATCATAGTCACAGAAGCTTGGTTCATCAGAAATCTTATCATTAGTTTTACTATAAAGGCAACTTTTTTCAGGATGATTAATAAATTTAATTGAATTCAATTCTAAATTCTGTTGAGAATTTATAGCTGAATGTGGTATCAAACAGGTAGTTTTATCATTTTGTAAATACTCTGTGTAGGGTAGGTAAAGCAAATTTTCAAGAGCAGAACCCTTAGCAATGTCAAATTCCAAATTTGAGAGTCCACTGAGAGGTGGAGGAGAATGAGATAAAAATCTCTCTACATTAGTGAGAACCTCTTTTGTTAATGAATGACAATAAAATTGGTCATCTGTTCTAGCTCTACAAAGCTCTTCCTCAAATGGAAGAAATAAGCTAGATAAAACAGACTTCTCATCACTGAAACTGTTATAACCAGAATCTAAAAAATTTCCAGCAAATGAACTAGCAGATTTATTTGTAAACTGATATTCTGTTAATAATCCACATGGCTGATTAACATTTTCATTGACAGTACATATGGCAGCAACTTCATCTGTATCTGAAGCCCTTTTATCATTCAGGTCTACCCGAAAAATATTTTCAACAGTAGAATTGCCATCGGTATCTAAAGAATCCATGACAATATCATTGTTTTCTTTTTTAGGCTGATTTTTCTTCGGTTCTTTAGAAGATTTTTTCTTTAGAGAAACAATTTTAGTAGGTTTGATATGAGTTTGTTTAAAAATTTCAGCACATTCTTCATCAGATTCTGTCACTGAGAGTGAACTGCCTTGATTTGTATTCTTTGTAAATGAAGATTTCTTGTTACTAGTAAAGGTGCCATTTGCAAGATGATTGTATTTGCTCCTAGAATCACTAAATGTCAAGTGAACATCTTCCATTTGTAAGTAAGATTTAATTTCCAATTCATAGCTGCATTCTCCCTATAAAGAAGGAAAATGAAAAAGTCACAGAAAACAAAACAAAAAAGCCAATTTTGGGAGGGGGAAAATAAAATAACAAAATGTTAAAAAAAATTATGTATATATAGTATGAAAAAATAATAAATAAACTGGCATTTTAAAAAAAAGCCAATTCTAAGAGATGAGTTTTACTCTATGTTAAAATATTTTCTAAACAATATTACATTAAATGATTTTCTTTTAAAACTTAAAAATTATTCTGATAAACAAAATTATAAATGATACTACTATGAAATTATCATACATTTTTTTAATCAGTTAATACTTTTGTATCCCCAGTACTTAATACATGGATGACCCATGATAACTATTTGTAGAAAGAACAAAATGAATACATAAGGTTATAAACACTAAGTTTTTTCACTTCTAAAATTTAACTGAACAATATTTTAATTTTCTAAAAATATTTAAGAAATTTATATGTATATAAAAGAAAAGCATAAATACATATGTTAAATTTACTCTCTTGATGAAGGTAAACTAAGAACAGCTTTTACAACACCTAAAATAGTGGTACTTGTATGTTCATTAGGCTCCAAGCTAGAAATTCTATTTTTAACAAACTTCCCAACCAAGAAGCCTTATAGTGAAATTCTAAGACTTATTTATCTCTAAATCTAAAACTACAGTCCCCACCACTCCTGGCTCATCCGTCCCTCCTTCCCATGAAAGCTGCTCTAGTCAAGATCCCTCTACTATTCAGGAACTTAAGCAGTTAACTCTCTACTGTTTGAATAATAAATCAATAAATATTAATGTGAGAATGTCTGTCTCTCTGGTAGTGTATATGCTCCCACACACAAAGTATTTTATCTGGCTTTTTCACTGATGCAGCCACAGGGCCTGGAACAGATAATGACATATAGAGGACACCAAATAAATGTGTTAATTTGATGGCACAAGTTTTGCTTAGATTCACAACTAATTCCTTTATGTACATGTATTTGTAAACAATAACTAGTAAGAAAAATTCCAGCTACAATCTACAGAGTACTTACTATGTGTCATTTAATATTCTAAGTGCTTTACACGTATTAAGTCATTTAATCCTCACAACAACACTACGAAGGTTTCATCATCATCCCCATTTTACAGATGAAACTGAGGCACAAAGAGGTTAAGTAATGAACAGATGCACAATTAGTAGAGGTAGTGTTGGGATTCTAACCCAGGCATTTTGGGCTTCACTTTCATAATAGGGTCATCATTCTGACTTTCTCAAGGAAGAATAATCAAGAAACTGCTGAAGGAATAAATAATTTTCTAACCTACCACCAGGATATAAGAGACATACCAAATAAATGACCTATGTAATAGAGAATATTTCAATAAATCGCATCTAACGAGAATCTTTACAGTTTATTTAAATCGTTATGTATATTAAAATTTAACTCTAGTCTATCAATATTTACAGATAATATTCTTTTAATTAAGCGTACTTCTCTTAAGGCAGAAATCTGGATCCTATACAGAAAAACAAAATATTCTAGCTATAATTATTTGTAATACTTGTTTCTTATAATAATGACTTCAAATTAAGGATAAAGATTAAATATTATAGTTTCAGCATCATAACAGCAAAAGAAAGTTACAATAAAACCCTACCTCTTCATGTCTCATTCCTTCTATCATTTGCATAATGCTTATAAAATGGTGGCATCGATCTGAATGATCAACTTGATATGTAGGAAAAGGATGATCCTGCCACAGTCTCCATTCAGAAAGAGAGAGTTGATGAATTCCAATGGTTGGTTCTTGAATCTTGATTAAGGATTTTAAAAATAATAAAAATGATAAAACACATATACTCTGATTTCACAAACTAAAAAACACAATACACAATCAGCTCAACATAAATAATTTGAATTCATTTAGGTACTTGCAACTAAACTCTCAGGAGAAAAAAGAAAATAATTTCATAAAGTATAAAGATGACTTTTAAATACATTTTTAAAATAAATGACATATGAGTTACAACTTGACCATATTCCTGTTTATATAGTTCCATGTTAAGAGCAAATATTTAAGAAAATGTACGGTTTCAAAACTACTATTTTGCTTGATTTATATCCTATAATCTAATATGGAGGCATTCACAATCTCCCAGTGATAGTAATCCCAATTCTTCATGCCTGCTGACATGGCTTACTTTCCCTGTAAGTGAATAAAATACAAATTCTAAATAACCGTATATTTCAAGCACTATAAACCTTCTAAAAGGAATCTTTCCTGAGGTGTTTTTCCCACTCTTTAAACACATAAATAACCTTTAACAATTTATTTTGACTTTCATTAAGTTCATCAATAATTTATTCATAAAACAAAATAAATACTAACATCCAAATTAAAGTTTTACTATAATTTCAAAACAAAAAATAAAATGTTTTTACGAAGATGCTTGTGACAGTATAATTTTATGTTAGTTATATAAAGAATTCCAAAAAATAACAGTGATATTGTCAAACTATGGTATACTGCAGAGTAATGAAACAATTGTGTAAATTATACCTATACAGAAATTTTCATATGGTAGAAAGTCATGAAGAAAAGGCAGAACTTATAAAAATATATTACAGTATTATAAAAAATATATATATAATAAATATAAGAAAATTAGAAGTTTTACAAATTTAGACTTAATTTAATATTATTTTTTAAACTGTTTACATTCTTAATTTTTTAAGTTGACATTCTGATCATGAGCATTCTCTTTACTCCAAAGCTACTGTATCATCACTATAAACAGTGTATGAAAACATATTTAACTTACTGATTTGTTTTCCTCATTTTGTAAAGATAGAAACTGAACTTGAGGCAATGTTATTTCCTTAATTAAATCACTGTCTTTTAATCTATACAGTTTGTTCCATAATTTAAATTCTTCTTCTGATAAGAACCAATCTTCCTTGGAATTACTTTGCCTCATTCCTGTAAGTTAAACAGAGATTTAAAAGAGGTTAAAAAAAATGTTGGAGAGGATGTGGAAAAAAAGGAACCCTCATAACTGCTGGTGGGACTGCAAATTGGTACAGCCACTATGGAAAACAGTATGGAGGGTCCTCAAAAAACTAAGAATTGATCTACCATATGATCCAGAAATCCCTCTACTGGGTATTTACCCCAAAGACTTGAAAACCCATATCCAAAAAGATATTTGCATACTGATGTTCATAGCAGCACTATTCACGATAGCCAGGAAATAGAAGCAACCGAAGTGTCCTACGATAGATGATTGGCTAAAGAAGCTGTGGTACATATATACAATGGAATACTAGCCATAAGAAGAGATGAAATACTGCCATTTGTGACAATCTGGATGGACCTCAAGATAATCATGCTAAGCGAAATAAGCCAGACTGAAAAAGTTGAAAATCACATGATATCACTTATATGTGGGATATAAACCTAAAAGCAACAAAAGAACAGGACAGAGACTCAGGGACATGGACAATGGACTGGTGGTTACCAGAAGGTAGGGGGTGGAGGACAAGGGAAGAGGTAAACAGGGTAAAGGGGGTAAAATATAGGGGAGCTGGGGGGAGAGTGAAGTGGGTAAAGGGGATCAAATATATGGTAGCTGAAGGAAACTGGACTCTGGGTGGTAATGACACAATACAATATATAGATGTCAAATTATAATGTACACCTGAAAATTATATAATTGTATTAACCAATGTCACCCCAATGAACTTAAAAAAAATTAAAAACAACAACAACGAAAAAGAGGTTAAAAAATCTGTTAGGCAAACACAAAATATACAACATCGTCTCTGTCTATTCATCACTGCTAAACCACTGATTCTATTCCTTAAAAGTAGTATTCTTCATATAATCACTCTAGTTATCACTTCCTGCTTCTACATATCTCCTAATTTCTCTCACTTCTTTAAAAGTACTACTGCACCCTTCTATCTAGGAGCTAACCTTTGGTAATGACTTCATTAACAGAATAAAACCAGGTAGCTAGGCTCTCAGTCTTGGTCTCTTTTGGACTCTCTCCATTTGTTGTCTAAGACCTGGCATGAAATAGTCAGATAACATACAAATAAAAACTAGTACCATGATTCTATCATAACATTATTGGAAGGGCTATCTGAAGCTTGGGGATGGTGGGAACCCCAAGACTAAAAAGAGTTTTTAGCTTAAGACTTAAAGGCGGGGGACGGAGGGAATGGAGGATGATAAAAAAGACCTACTGTTTTAAAAATGACATAATAATATACTTTTTTAAAAATGATAAATTAACCTTTTTTGACTTCCATAATCTCTATAAACGAAAATAATTGCCAATTTGGAAAGGATAAACATTATAAAGCAGGAACTCTGGCCTAATACAGATGAGGGCAGAAAAAAAAAGTCATGAAGACTACTGAAACAGAAAACAAGAAACTTCTGTCTTAGCTATTTCCAAATACTATTAAGAAGCTTTTGTAAAATAAGGAATTTGAACTAAGTGATCTCTCAGGTCCCTTTCAGATCTAAAAATCTGAGGCCCTAAGACTTTTGAAATATTGAAATATTGAAAATATTGAAATATTGAAAATATTCTACTCTCCTACTCACTTTAAATAAATTCAGGCCTCTAAGCCCCAATGAATTATATACTGATATATAGAAGATTACATTTATACACACAATCTTGGCAAGAGGAATTGGTGACACTTCAAATATACAAACAACTGCTACATAGGTGAACCAAGGATCATAACCATTCTTTGCATTGAGAAAACAAAACTAAATCAATGAGAAAAAGGTACAAAGATTTTTCAACATAAAAAAGAACTTTCTTCTATACAGGGATATTCAACAATAGAATGAACCCTCAAAAAGAAATATAATTTGCTTTAACAGATATTCAAGTTGAGGCTAGATATGCATTTAACAAGGATGTAGCAGAAAGCATTCCTAACAGTAATTGGACCAAATGATCCAAAGGTTCCTCTCAAATCTTAAAATACAATTACAGGATTTTATGATTCTTTAAAAGCCCTCCTTAAAGATTAAAAAAAAAACCCCAAAAAACAAAAAAAACTTTTTAGTTTCTCATTTTCAAAGTGCTAATATTTCAAGATAATTTCTTGATATCACCAAAACCTCTGCAGTCCTTAAGCTAGCAACACCCTCAATACTAACTATGCTCCCTGGCACCAAAGCATTTGTTTCTCACTGACTCAGTATTACCAATAACCTGGTCTAACGTTGCTGCAATTGTTTCTTTTAACAAAGAGAAAGGAAAAAGAATTATCTCCTTTGCAGATTGGGAAAGAAACCATTCCACCTCCCTTTTTTAGAGCAATTCCAAAGACACATGAAAATGTTTGTAAACTCCTTCTTTAACCCTTGGGTATGTATGTAAATCTCTGTAAAAGTAAGCAAGCCTCTAGGGAGCTTTTCAACCAGATCTTAAGGGTCTAGAAGCTGTCTCTTTGACATGTAAATATCAAGGAAGATTAGTGTCCCCGTGTTCCAGTCACCAGGGGACTTTACCTTAGGTATCAGTCTCAGAGCTGTCACTATCTGCTTGTAATAGAGATAAGTTTTATTATTTCATTGAATAAAGGCAATTAGCTAACACAAATGGCTACCTTGATTATCAGGTGAATTTGGGATGAACTATGAAAGAATGTCTAGCAAATGGTGCTGTCTTCTTATATAGGACAAATTACTGTTAATCTCGAAAATATGTATATAAAGGATCCTAAGTATTTAGGGTAGTGAACAGGGTAGAATTTCTGTCCTTGTGGATCGCTTACAATGCACACTGTAATCTGGTTTAATGCTTATTCAATAATAAAACTTTTCTTTCTTTTCCTCATTTTGTAAAGAGGATATTTTAATTTTCCTACCACTGAGTTTCTATTACACTATATTGCCAGTGTCTCTTGCCCTTTACCACACATCCTTTCCCTCCTAAGAGAACACCCATAACATTGTAGAATGAATGCTCATAGCACTCCTCAAAGAACAAATACATCATTATATGACCTGCTAACTAAAAGGAAAAATGTGCATGTTTTAAATGCAAAATTTTTTATTTACCATTCCTATAGGAAAAGATAGATGACTTTTGCTTCAAGTTTCGAGAAGGCTTCTCTGGTTGATAGACACCATTTATAATGGACATTTTATGTAATTCTGGATTGATTCCATCAGGAACCATTCGTGGACTTCGCTGGTAAAAATGAAGTGCCTGCTTGTTACCTGAAATAGCTCTGTAAATATTTCTTTTGTTGGATTGACTTTGATTATAAGTCTGCAAAAACAAACATTAGATTATATTATTTCTATAATAATCACTTAGCCATAACAAGCAATTATTAGTTTGAGTTTATTATAAACAGTAAATTAAACTCTGATCAAGTTAAATACTTGGAGAATAGAATATCTGTTGTCTTGAATTTGAACCCTGTTCAATTAACTCTTTATGAAAATCGTTTCAAAGTCTATTATTATAAAAGCCTACCTTAGTAACTGTATTGCAAAAAAGAAATCTTATTTAGTATCTTGCTGTTTTTGAGTAAGGCTGATATTTATAAATAAGTTGCTTTTTTAAAAAAATACTATTCCTGTATTTCAGCTTCTTACTTTACCCCTCTACACTTCAGTTTTCTTTACTGTATACAAGAAAAGCAATACTCCCCTTACAGGATTGTTAATACAGAATTAAATAAGATACTGCATCAATAATATTGTGATAAGTTTACATGGTGGCAGATAATTACTAGAATTAGGGGGTGATCACATTGTAAGGTATAAAAATGTTGAATTTGTCGTTAGGCTGTATTTCTCAAGTTTAAATTAACAAATCATGTTTCTTAAAGTCTACTTACACGTTCTTCTCGTCCTTCAGCAAGGATAACAACAATCCTGCCTTGACGTTTTCGGCCAGTTCTACCCATCCGTTGTATAAGACGAATTGGGCTCTTCTGGGCATCAAAACATATTATAAGATCGACTTCTCCTATATCCAAACCTTCTTCACCAACACAAGTAGAAACCAATGTATTGTAACCACCACTACGAAATTGTTTCACCACCTAAAATAAAAATGACTTAAAAATAACTAGATGCAAATAAATATGAGAGAATTGTTGCTCAAAGCAAACATTTCCTGCTCACCTCAAAATGATGAAATCAGATTAAAAATCTCCATGAATACTACTAAATAGGAAAAGGGTGGCAAAATGGCAATATAAGCCAAAAGAAACTGTGGTAAAATGCAAAGGGCAGTCTTAATCCTTTGCTTTAATAGGGGTTGTAATTCCAAAAGAGTTTGTTAATAATTTACCCACAAATGAGAAATCTCAGATGCTATTTTTAGCATCACTAAAAGGGCATATAAGGAAGGTAAGTAGCCCACAGAAATTACTGCTATTTATTATATCCTAGATCAAAATTTATTGTAAGGTGTATGCCAAGTAAGAACGTTTTATTACTCTTAGAATTTGTGGATGAAAAAGGGGCATTTTAAGAAATCTAACCGAAAGTAACCTCAGAAGGATCTGATCACAAATTCCTAACTAGGCAGGTGAAGGTAGGTAGTCACACCTCAGGCCTATAACTTCTTTAGTAACAGGTTTATCTTTGCCTTAAGCAAGCCCTGCCCATTGTTTCTGTGAATCTAGGTTAACACACCCTTGAAATGCCTCTTTTTCTTAGAGGTCTCAATAGAGCAGTAATCTTAACTATCCTATAATCTAAGCCCCCACCCTGCTTTCTCCCACCTCTATGTAATTGTCCTAATTGTTTTTTCCCTAATTCCAAATGTAGAAAAAAGAAACTGCAAAACTGTCATTCTCTGAAGCATTTGACATCTTACTTCCCGGCACTGTTGTTGTCAGTTTGGCTCAAAGAAATAAACTCTTATAAAAATTCTCTACAGGTTTGGACATTCTTACAATAACAAATTCACCTTTCCTTTTATACTATTATTCCAGTGAGGGGGTAGTAGAATATGCCACCCAAAATATGACTGTAAGAGTTGTCAATGTAAAAAACGTCCAAACCTGTAGAGAATTTTATGAGTTTATTTAAGCCAAACTGACGACACATGCCAGGGAGCAAGGTCTTTCCTGCTCCTCTCACTCCATATTTCTCTGACTATAAACTTTGACACTGGTTATATTCCACTTTCCACCTACTCTGAGTCTGTACGTATACAGTTGAATGTGGCTGGAGAAAAATATCAACTATGTTAACTGGTTTCACTTTAAATTCATAATTTCTCACCTTGAATGGGCCTTTGGTGCTATATGAAAATCATTTCACATTTCCCTAATCCATTCACACTCCCCATTCTCCCAGATAACTGTTTCCTACTCTCTCCTGTCTCATCAAACTTCTAATACTTCCTCTCTATCCTCACTCTCAGCGGGTGACAGAACAAAAATTGAGCAATCAAAAAGACCTTCCACAAGGTATCACTACCAGGTCAACTTATCCACCCGTACCTGTGGCTACATAGACTACCTTCTCCCCTATTGTTTTGAATAAATTCCATGTTAACGGAGGTTACTTCCTCTACTTTTGTACTAGATCTCATCCCTTTCCCTCATCTACTCATAGATCATTCCAGCAATACTCTCCTCTACTCTATCGTCAAGTTCTTTCACAACCCAACATAAGACAAACAAAATATCACTTCCATCTTTGCTCCCCTTTACAGCAAAACCCTTGAAAGAGAATTGTATACTTGCTATCTCCAGCTCTTCGCAATGGTGGCTTATCTCCACCACTCCACTAAAACTGTTTTTTCCAAGCTCATTTGCCTTCTCACCTCTTTATCCAAAGGTCAATTCCCAGTTATCACCTTACATGACCTACTAGCAGCATTTATACATTTGATCACTCTTCTTCCTTGTTTGTCCCCAGGATACCACACTCTCTTGGTCTTTCTCTGATTATACTAGCCACTTATTCTGATTCCATATGGAATCATAATCACTTCTATCTCATAACAATGAAGTACCCTAGAGCTGTCTTTGGACATCTTCTCTATCTCCATTCAATCAGTTGGTAATTTCATGCAGTCTACATGATGATGACTCCTGAATATATACTTCCATGAATCCATGAACCTATTAAACAAGACTTATATATTCAATTGTTCATTCAACAACTCTATTTGATATGTAAAACAGTGTTACTCAAAGTGCAGCCCATGAACTGTTTATTACTAGTGCTGGTTACAAATTGTTTATTACTGGCCAACAAGTAGAAAAACTAAGAGTAAGAGTTTAGAAGTTTAACAGAATAATTCTGTTTGTTGACTCTAATAATAAAAAATTTGAACATGACCTTTGTTTTGCAGTAATTTTACTTTTCTCGTAATTCATGTTTATTGTAATGTTCAAAAGTATCTGTCTATGAAGTATTAGGAGGAAATAAACTAATCTTCCAGTTTTGATAGTTGGAAAACCATTAATCTCATGGTTATGACAGTTAACTTGTTCAAAACCAAGCTCTTGATATTCTCTCCAAAACCTGTTTCCTGCAGGCTTAGCTATTTTAGTTAACAGCAGCAATTTTTAGTTGTTTAAACCAAAAACCTTGGCATTAGCCTTCATACTCCTTTATCTCACATCTCACTCTAATGTCAATAACTTCTGTCAGCCCAACCTTCAAAATGTATCCAGAATACAATCATTTCTCAAAACCTTCCCTGCTACCACTGTAGTACAAGCCACCATCATTGTTAGCTTGAATTATTATAATAAGTCTTCCAATTTGTCTTCCTATTTCCACTCTTAGTTCCTTATAGTTTATTCTTAACCAGTGTGATTCTTTTAAAATATAAATCAGGCCATGACCCTCCTATCCTCCAAACTCTCCAAGGGCTTTTTCCCATCTCATTCAGAGTAAAAGCTACTACTATCATTAAGATGGAAATTACCTATAAGGCCCTAAAGAATCTGGCCCTCCAGTTCCTCTGTGACTTCATCACCTGTTCCTAAATAATTTAATTTCAACTTGACCCTCCTAGGTAAAAATTCACTTTATTTCTCATTCACATACAAATGTTAGGATTTGTAATAATCACCTACTAGATGTCTGAACCCTTTAAAGTACTTATAATCAGACTTGAGATAGGAAAAGGTGTTATAGTCAGACTCAGGAAAAGACCCTCCCCACCAGATCCAGACAGCTTAAACAGACTTCTGAGTGCAGTGAGGGCTGGTATAAAAGTTATTTAAAGAACGAGATTCCTCTTCTACTAATGTTGAAAGAATCAAGAAAAGATCTATCAAAATGAATTTGACCTTAAAGACACACCTAATTGCTAGTGACTACTCAGTGTAGACCTATAGATAATCTGCAAAAATCTGTAAACGGTTTATAAAATTAAGAGTCTAAAACTTCCCTACAAAACTTATCACAGTATGTAGAAAACTTATGACCTCTCATTCAGAGCATACAGCTACCTTAAATACCACCATGGTTTCCTCTGACCATATTTTTAAATGAAGATTTTTAAATAACAGAAAAAAGACATAATTGTTTAAAATAACTAGAATGACTTAAATAAACAGTAAACATTTATTGAAGGCTCTACCGCACAATTTCATTTAATGCTTACAACTCTAGGGAGTACATTTGCAGATAAGAATAACTGAGGCACAGGAAGTAAAGAAACTTATAAGTAGAAGAGCCAGGATTCCAACCCAGTAGTATAATTCCACAGACTATCTGCCTAAATATTACACTTTACATTACTTAAAAATGTGTGTGTGTGTGTGTGTGTGTGTGTGTGTATACACCATCTTTTTTTTACATGTTTTACTATAAAATTACCCTTAAGAAGTACCCAATTGACCAGTGAGTTAAAACAAAAATGCGTAAGTGCAAAGCTAACCAATATTATTTTTACTTCATTGTCTCTAAAAATAATTACCTCCAGTTGCTCCTTCTGGGTAAAACCTTTCATGCTCTTCCCTGAGGCATGGCCAACAAAAGTCATTACTCTAATAATTGGCTGGTGCTGTAAAAGCATTTCTGCAATTTCTTGAACACTATCTCGAAATGAAGAGAAGATCATAACTCTGGTTTTGTCACATTTCTTTTCAGATGTGTTTTGAGCTATATAACAAAAAAAAACTTAATTAAAACTTTTAAAAAAAGAATATAGATAAGAACTAGTTCAAAAGACAAGCCCGAAACTATGTAGTAATGAATGACAATTCTTTCAAAAGAACAATTTAAGACATCTTAAACCTTTGCTGGTTTTCTCACCTTTCCTAGTAATTTTAATAACCTTAGCTCCTTATCTCTCATTGGCTGTCATAAAATAAAATCCTATACAAATCAAATAAAAATTACCTGAATCACTTTTGACCAGGCTTTCATTTCATGCATGATGCCTATTATTTCCCTTTATGTTCTAAGTCAGAAGTACAGAAATGTAGAGTTCCTACTGATTTCATAAATCTCCCCTTTTCTTTTTGTTTACCAAAGGCACTGTCTTAATCCAGGCCATGGAATTCAGTCCCCATACCTATTATACTTTCAAATTCTCCAGTAACTACTGAATATACCCTACAAGCCAATTGCAAAGTTCCTCCCAATGTCTCTGTGCTTCAAAGGCAGTAGAATGTGTGAATAAGAACATGATCTCGTAGGCTGGGTCACTTACTCTCTGGATGATGTGTGGCCATGGTAGTTATTTTATTTCTTTAAGCTTTAGTTTCTTCATGTCTAATATGGATTGAGGGGATGATTAAATGAACTAGTAAATATAAAGTATGTAGACTTGCACATAGCAATTGGCTAATAATTGCAAGTTGTGTGAGGTTTTCTGTTATTAGTTTTCTTCTGTGTTTAAGCTTGCTTGGGACTTTGACAATCCTTCTTTCTTCCATATGATTTATATTATATTAATTACCATGTGTGTGCCAGGGACTACACTAAGCATTTGTATATTAATTCATTTAGTCTTCCTAACAACCCTAAGGATTAAATGACAATACACATAAAGCTAAATTCACAATACATAAAGAAAAAGTAACAGGAGCTGCAAGAAAAATTATTTTAGACAAACTTCCTTTGAGTCACCATAGCATCGAGCTTCTGCATCTGACCAATCTCTAACCAATAGCTACTTTCAGTGCAAAGTATGTCTGTCTTCTTCGACCAGCCACCGCCTGTTTTTCTGCCTTCATTCCACTGAAGCTCCTCTATCAAAGTTATCAATAATTTCCAAATTGCCAAATTTAATGGATACTTTTTAGTTCATATAAGCACACTTCTCAGCAGTATTTAATACAGTCTGCTCCATCCTACTGAAATAATCTCTTCCCTCAGCTTCTCTGATACTGCACTTGTCTGGTTTCTTTCTCAATCTCCTTTGTGGCTTTTTTCCATCTGAATTCTAAATATTAGTATTCTTCAGAACTACATTATGGGTGCTCTCTTGTCCCTAAACTGTATTCCTGGTGATGTAATCACATGCATTCCTGAAACTTTAAATACTGCCTTTACGCTGAATACAAAATATATTCATGCATCTGTATAGAGATAAAAATAGCCCAGACCATTCTTCTGAAATCCAGATTCACTTTTCTAATGCCTACACATTTCCGCTTAGATGTCTCAAGAGCATCCTAACATGTTTGCTCTTTCTTCTCTATATTGTTCTTAATTTTCTCTTTGTTCATATAATCATCCATAAACACACACGCATCTATATGATTCCTTTTTTTCTTATATCCTATGTCCAGTCCATCAACAAATACTGTTGGCTCCAACTTCAAAATATACCTAGAATCTATGACCACTTCTCAGCACTTCCACTATTAAAGCCTCCATCTGTTATCATCCTAGACTGTTATAATAGACTCCTAATTCATCAATGTCTACTTTCCACAAAACTACCAGAGCGATCTTTCAAAAAAGTCAGAGTATATCACTCTGTAGCTCTAAGTGCTTCTGTTAACAACTGCACAAAGCACACACTTTCAAAGAATAAAATCCAAAGTCCTGACTTTCCTACAAGCCCTAGGTCTGCCCCTGACTACCTCTCCAGCCTCCTTCTATACTACCCTTACCCTCATTAAACTTATTCCAGCCAAATTGGTTTGTTTACTGATCCTTAATCATACCAAGCACTCTATTGCCTCAGGGCCTTTGGATCTGCTCTTCTCTCTGCCTGGAATGATCCTCCCCCAGAAATCCTCAAGGCTTGCTCCCTCACTTCCATCAGGTTAAAAGCTCAAATATCACCCTATAAACAGGCTTTCTCTAATACTCTATATAAAACAGCTTCCTTCATGACTATCTTCCTACCTAGTTCACTTTTCCCTACCATCATATTATATATTATTTTACTATCTGCTTCCTTATATTGCCCAAGACTAATCTTTTCTTTTTCACATATCTAACAGTATTAACATTCCTACCATTCCCGTTGCCCTTATCCTCCCAAAATTTCTCAGTTTTTTTATATTCATTATTCAGAGTAACTAAAAGCCCAACTTCTCCATAAGAAAAGCTAGCACAAACTAATGAGTCAGAGTTTTAGCTTTTTCAATAACTTTGCCTTGCCCTGAGGCTATTAAATATGACCTACCATTCCATGACTTGAAGTGTTCAACTACAATTTCTTCTAATTTCTTTAATTTTGGGTGACTATAGAAAAAGTCTTTATCTCCTGCAAAAATAAAAAAAAATTAAAAAAAATCTCTGTATTTTTCCATATTCAATTACATCAATATATTTTAATTACCTTTTTCAAAATGGATTTGTTAAAACTTTTTTCTTTTTATTTAAACACTAAGTAGCATCTGGATAGCACATAAACCTTAAAGCAAAATAAAATTTGAATTTTTATAAAAATTTCATCCTGAGAGAAAATCCAAAAAGGAATCAGCAGCAACATAGAAGAAAGAAAATATTAAGTAAGCTATACATCAGTTTTTGGTAATTCTCAGAATTTTTTCACTACCATAACAACTACTAACTTGTATTATAAACTGCTCGAATATACACATTTATCCTAAGTTGCTCCTTTTTATTGTATTTTATTTATTTGTTCTATTTATCCCTTTTAGCATTTAACAGATCTATTGCTATAAAAATACAAGTATAGAAAGACATGTGTATCAATGAAGTAAAATTTCCAAATTAACCTTGATGAAGAGGGAACAACAATATTTTAAAAGAAAAAAACAGACCTTTTTGGATAGTAGAAATGCTACTTGCTGAAGTACTACGTGTATGTGCAAACATACACTCTAGATGATTATAGAGTTTCATGAAGTCCTCATTTCGCCTAAGTTCATTTTTTGCTCGAGTCATTCCTTCAGAAATTGAGAAAAAGTTTTCCCAATAAATAAATTTAATAGCAAAACTAATCAAATTTATTATGTATTAAGAAGATGTTAATCTTTAGAAATGCAAATTTTTAAAACTTAAACATGAAAACCATCAATGTTTTCTAGTTCTACATTCACCCATATATTAATAAATGGCTTGCTTGTTTCCAGCAATTTATCAAAAACAAAGAAATATTGCCACTTGTTACAAAACCACTTCATTACTTTTTAAAAGCATTTTTAAGTAACCAAACTGTTCAATATTTGTTTTTAGCCAAAATTATACATGTCAGTATTTCTTTAAATAATTTACCTTTAGTTCCATCCATAATTCCACAAAGGAAGAAATATAATGATCTCATTCCCATTTGCTGCAATAATTCATAACCATGATATAAACTAATACAAACAGCAAACTCTCCCTCGATTATGCCTTGTTGTACTCCCTAGAAAAACAAGTATATATCAAATTTAATGAGAGAAAAAAATTAAGATACATGTTCCATGTAGAACTTACTGGTTCCATTGAATGTCACAGGATGTTGCTATGGAAGGTGGCAATGTATTTTCCATATAAAATCTGTCCCTTCATATTTTTTTAATTCAACATTAAATTTAAGTTTTAAAGAGAATAAATGAAGGAGGGGAAATATTTCTCATATACTGTTTTTCTTTATAGGTCAATTATTAGCAGTACATAGGTTCATTTGTCTTTCGAAACTACTTAATAGGTATCTATTATGTGTTAAGCACTGAGCTAGACATTTGGGATACGATGGAAAATAAGTCAGATATAGGCCTATCCTCATGAATGTTATGGAATCAGGATAAATATTTAATCAGACTGTTTAACATTAACATTTACCAACAAGTATATGAGCCATAATAACATTGGACACCGAGGAGACACTGTTATAAGCACATTACTTGTACAAATTCATTTAATCTTCAGATATAGGAAGTGGGTACTATTGTTATGCCCACTTTACAGATGAAGAAACTCATACTGGTGGTAAGCAGCAGAACTATTATTTGAAGCCAGGAAATTTGGCCCCGTGTCCTTGTGCTTTTAACCACTACTCTTAAGGAAAAGTGAACTACGCATTCCTTAAAGGGGAACATACAGTAGGTGTATCTAATAAGACAGTTTTAAAAGAAGACCATTGAGAACAACATATTTTAATTATTTTCCTTTACTAGAGATAAAGACTATTATTCTCTAGTTTACATTTAGTAGCATTTAACATCAGTGATGTTAAATGTTTAAATGTTTCTAAGATAGTGATAAATGCCCTAAAATGGCAGCCCAATTACATGAAAGAGTAAAACCAACTCTCTGTAAAATATAAACTGTCATCAGTAAGATCAAGTTTTAAATTTACTATTTAAAATTTCAATGAATCTTTAACTCCTAGCAAAAATTAAAGACATTCTATAAATATACTAATATACTAATTGTATTATTATATAATTTCACAGAGGAGTTACCCTTAGTGGTTCCCCAGATACTAGAGAATAAAGTCCATATTTCTGGTGTGACATTTAAAGCTACACCCATGTGGTCACACCTAGATTAACTATCACCTCTGACTTCCTCAATCTTTTACCTTAGCCAAATTGGTTTGCTCACTATCTCCCTCATACTTTTGTTCAACTGCCTCTGTTCTTTTGCACATGTGTTCCTTTTCAGTTCCAAGAAAAACTCAGTGCCTTTTTATGCTTGTGAGCATCTCTTGACTTTGGACCTAGCTTGATGGATAATGTTCCTATTCGCCTATTTTTTTCCTATGAAGATTAGAAATAGAAGCTTACTGTGATGCTTCCTCCAAACTCGATATCGAGTCAAGACAAAATGCTATGGATCTAAAAGTTATTTAGAATCTATCCTGTCATAGCTCTTTGACTTTGCAAAACAAAAATAAACTAAAAGACCAACTCTTAATTAAAAGTTATAAGGTAAATTTATCTTAATTCAAAGCATAGGCTGTATTCCTGTTAATTTTTTTCATGCTTTTATAAAGTATACAAATCATATCTGAATTCTTTATGAAGTAATAATATATATAGCGAAAAATAATCATTATTTACATTTCATCCTGGCTCTGAGTAAAAACTTAATCTATCACCAAAATTTATTTTAAAATACCTACCACAATGTTTGGAGATGGATTTTTCCTAAATTGATCTCTTGCTAGAATTATCTGGTATTTTGTTAGATTGGGGATATCCCTTCTCATCAAAAGATTCCTTTGAATCAAAGAACTGGCAAATGCTTCCAAAATCTACAAATTTCAAAAAAAAAATGTAGTTTAAGCTTGTCTTAAAGTCCTTTTTCAAATACAATTATTTCATTACATACTAAAGTAAGACATATATAAAACAGTATATTAAAGTTTGTCCTAAAATGAATTTTTAAATAAAACACAGAAAACATAATGATAAAATTTTAAAGTACTTGACATTTATCCCCAGATAACATCCATTTGAGAGTCAGCACAACCATTAATTAGATCCAACTATAATTGAAAGACATATGTGTTTTTCTGTTTATTTCTTAACTTCCCTCCTCTTTCTCAGTTTAATTACAGTGAAAGGATGGCCTTGATTTCTGTTGCATCTTCAGTGCCTACAACAAGGTCTGGCACAGAGGTAAATATTTACAGACTGATGACTAAATCAAATGCCTTGAATACATTGAATGATGAGGTGTATCTAGCATGCGAGGTTCTGAAGACAGAGCAGTTCAGGTAGAGAAAACAGCAGACCAAAGGTCCTGATGAAGGAATGAGCTTGATGACAGAGTGAAAAAAGATCTTCAGTGAAGACCTACTATAGCAATACATAATGAAATGATTCAAATTTTTGCCTAATTTTTAGTTCCTAAAGTTGAACTATTTTAGTACATTTATGCCTAAAGAAGCACTCTAAAAATATTGACACTATTAAATTATTATATGTAATTATACAAATTACATTGTTTACATTCTTGTAAGTGGAACGATTTTAATCATAACCAAATGTATTTGTATTTAGGAACTGATTACTGGAAAGACTTTGCCATATTTTAATTATGCTTAGAATTTTGTTACAAATAATTTAAAAACCAAACCATATTCCTATAAAATTATTTTTAATAAAGACTTATTAAAGATTAAATAATGAATGTTTTGGTTATCTATGCCTGCATAACAAAGTACTGCAAAACATTATAGATTAAAACAACCACCATTTTATTTGCTCGTGGTTCTCATTCTGTGGGTAAGAACTCAAGCAGATCACTCAGAGGGCCTAGGAGATATGACACCACAGTAACAATGAGAATATCTAGTACCTAGATCCTGGTTTCTAAATACCATTCTTCCATAAAAGGAACAAGAATTCCTTGGAGAGATGGTTGATTCCACGGCTGGGACAAGAAAAATACCAAATGAACATAAAATATCTTGTAATGCCAGGAACTTAACATGTCTGAAGGACACAGGAGCCAACTTAAAGGAGCTCCCAATGGCCAAAGCTGGTACAATCTGAGCAACAAAATTAATAATGATAGTACTGGATTTAACCCACAGGAAACAAAAATCCTTTAGTCCATACTGATATAAAGAATTGAATTAATAGGTAAATATGGGAGAAGAAACAACCCTTCATATTAGAAGAATTCAAATTAACAAATGTAAAAGAAATGAGGGAAA